GTATCTTTGCTGCTTAGAAATCCATTCGGTTGAAGTTTGCGTTCCAGCCGATGTTGCAACACCACGGTGATCTGAGAACTACTGGGTGATTCCCTGGTGCCAATACCCGTCTTTCTCCACATCCTGTGGCCACGTGGCTGCACTCAACGCCTCGGCAGCATCAGTGCACGCATCGGGAAGCCCATGCCTTTGCGTGGAAGCTTGACGAGGCTTTTGGTGCTGCTTCTGTGGGCACAGGCCTTTTGTGCTTGCATCACTGACGGACCCAACAACACGCAAGGACTGGCAACCCTTCCTATCGCACTTGCTGGGACAACTCGCGAAAACATCAGGAACTGAGACAATTTAATGCAGCTCGATCACATCGGAAGAAGCCAACGCGTCTTATTAGAAGAAGGAGGAAGGGAGACCAGGACAACCCGCTCAGCCCAGAACACAATCAGACAGGCTAACACACCTTGCCAATAGACCAGCATGCAAGGCACAGCGCCATAGCCAGCTTGTCACAGGGCAAGACCATGAACGGCATCGCTTTGCCCACAACTTTCCGGGCCGTGCTGCACACTTAGCCATTGCATCACGAGAAGATGTTGCAAGCATTGCAGGCATTCCAGCCTTTCACTTGTGGCAAGAAGCTCCAGTCGGCTGAGGCTCTATTTGGACGTCTTCGGGTGGCTGAGCTCGAGGAACCAGCAGGTGTGACATGGTGTGGCTTGCTGCTGTCAGATGTCAGTAGTTGTTCTACTCTCAGTGAGGAGTCCCACTGGTCCCGCCAACAGACACATGAATCGGAGGAGGCAGGATGCTCTGCTGCGACATACTGCGATGCAAGAGATCCGTGCAGAGCCGGCGTCACTTTCGGAGATTTGCCTGGGATGCGGGGCAGCGGTGGCTCGAGTGGCAGCTTCTCCCAGTTTTTGGGGCACATCCCACCATGGCGATGAAACGATTATCTCCAACACTAACTTCTCGCAGACTCGCTTCGAGCCCATCTCGGACCGCAGCGCAAAGAACTAAAGAATACACGAATGCAACGAAATCATCGTTGGCCGCGAAAGACTTTAGCCTTGCCCCACGCCTCGCCACCGAAGTCGTCTCTCGCGCTAGCGATTAAACTGATTACATGCTCGCTTGTTTCTTGTATGGCCGTGGTTCCCGCTTCTAGTTCCAGCAGTGCTCGCCGCGTCCTTTGAGCGGGGTAGACATCACGAATCAGCGGTTCTTCGATCTCAAGCATCTAAACGCCCCAGGCAGGCCTCTGGCCTCGATGAATAATAGATAGTCTCATAACTCATAACCGCAAACTCCGCCAGGCTCATACTAGCCTGTGAAACGTGGGGCTTACGCCAGTTTGCATCTGACGACTCCTAGAAGACTTGGCATTGTGACCCGCGTTTTTTTGCTATCAAAGCCTGTTGCGCATGGACAGGATGCGACCGCAACGGGAGCAACGGCATCTTTTCGTCTTAGCGTCGTCAGAGAAGAGGAGCTAATAGTTTGCTGTCCGTTTTGTTTTGGCCTTCGGGAAAGCTGACGGCATGCCGCTCTTGCAGAAGATCCCAGCCAGACAAAAAAGCCAGTGTCGTGGTAAATGGTTGTTTCAAATAGACATGGATGTTTCACCCTCTGAAAAGTGCAGTGTCTCATTGCAGGCAAATCAAAAAACTGCCTTGGAAATTCAGTTAGGGATGGCAAAAAAAACCCCCCCAAAAAAAAAGAGAGGAAAATGGTTTGATAGTAGAATGAAAAAAA